CAGTTTTGGCAGTTAACCTGCATGGAAGGGTTCCACTACACAAGGATACAAGATCACTAGAAGTTTCATTTAATTGGTAACAGAACACATGTTTGGAGGGTTCAGAGGCGGAGGGAAGGAGGGTTCAAGGGTTGTAGGGGGGCTGGGGAGGGAGGGTTCAGGGGTTGTAGGGGGGTTGGGGAGGGAGGGTTCATTGGGAGGGGTGAGGGAGAGGTGGCGGTCATTGCTTACAAGTTACCTCACGCACATGAGCAGCTCTGCAATACCTTTGGAGGATTTTTTCTCATGTTGCAGCTGCTCTTGCAGTTGTTTCGCCAGCTGCTGGTGTTCCTGCCACCGTTCACGAAGGGCAGCCGCTGCTGGATCAGCAGAGCGACCCAAAGGCGAGTTGCTAGGGAGGCTGAGGTTGCGATCATTTCATCTTAATTCTGTTCCATAACCCCCACTTCCAGATGACTGTGGGGTCCAGCCGTGAGCGGTCCCCCCACAGTAGATGACAGTGTCCCAGAACCGGGGAGTGGCCATTATGCATCAGGGGCAGGCCCACCGCTGGCAGAAGTTACAGCACCTGGTGCTAGTGGAGGAGCTGGGGTAATGGCAGGAGTCTTTGGTCTGGCACTGGTCCTCTTGTGCACTTCGGAATTAACAGGTGGTGAGTTTGGTGGCCAGCTGGAGCGATCATCACCTCCAGATGGCTCTGTACAGCGAATGGAGCTGGTGGCAACACTTGGCAACCGCTCTTCATGGTGGTATGGAGGGAAAATCGAGTGTGGTGTCGACACCCCCAGGTGGCAGGTTCCTGGCACTTGGCGTGTCGACACCCTCAGGTGGTAGGTTCCTGGCACTCAACGAGTCGACACCCCCGGGTGGTAGGTTCCTGGCACTTGACGAGTCGACACCCCCGGGTGGTAGGTTCCTGGCACTCAACGAGTCGACACCCCCGGGTGGCAGGTTCCTGGCACTCAACGAGTCGACACCCCCGGGTGGCAGGTTCCTGGCACTCGACGTGCAGCTGGTTGAACAGGAACCTGATGTCTGGCTCCCTGGTGCACTTGGTGGTTTGGCAGATGGTGAAGTGTTTGGTAACCAGCTGGTACAAACACAACATCCAGATGGTTCTGTACAGGAAGTAGAGCCTGCAACAATACCTTGCATCCTTCCTCCACGGTTGGAGCGGCCCTGCGCCTGACTTGCCGGGTAAACAACTGGTCGTTTGACACGGTCAAGATGTCAAGCTTGAACACGGCTTTAAACAATTTATGCTTTTTTCACTTACTGGGTGTAGTTTCCTTATACTCTTAAAACACACCTCAGATTTATGAGATTCACCACACACTGGACAAAAATAGTTGTTGCTTGTGCAGTACCTGACCACGTGACGTCCCCCCAGCATTGACACTATAGCACCTACGTGTACAATACCTGGCCACGTGACACCCCCAGCATTGACACTATAGCAGCTACGTGTGCAGTATTTGGGGCAAGTGACGTCCCTAGTGTGCGAAATTTTACCCACTATAACATTATTATCTAAGAAATGTAGTATTTCTAAATCCTATCAAAATTATATCAGAATCACTACAGATTCATTATATATTACATTTGGATCCTATATGACAATGCCACCTATGATCATATACACCATAGGGCCCAAGGTGTCTACGTGACTTTGTGCATGATTTCTCAAGGATCTAGAAGCTTCGAGGAGAATAGCTTAATTAAAAAACTATTGGAACATTCAATCGATTTCCAGTAAGGATTAAGTCAAATTCTTAATAAGAATTAATAGTATTAGCAAGTACTATTTATAACCTATAAATCTTATATCTAATTATATTATAATCACGTCTTATCTCAATCATATGTCTAGACAGTAAAAGCAATCAATAAATATGCACTGAAGGCTACCTTCCCCAAAGAAGGGAGGAGCCAACTCGGGAGTGAAGCTACCTACGGGGCGCCCCTGAGTGACACAGGTTGTACCAGACAACCTGTGTCACTCAGCAGAGATACAGGACTCCGACTACACGGAATGTGACACAAAATGGGATACCATGGCAGACCCAGCACTCAGACCAACCATGCCGAAAGCCTAGAAATAATCCAGCTGGGACAGTCCCATTGTAGACAAAGAAGTCACAGCTTTGCTGGAGGCAGCAACAACCGCCAGTGATCGTGCACTCCTCTCAGCTGTGTAGGCTCCCCATGCAGGGGACTTCTTTTTGGCAGTCCCGACAGGCACACGTCTTAATCTGCAGGAGCTCCGTATTGCAATCGCTCTCCGCCTTGCTGCCCCTATCCACACTGTTCATAGGTGTATTTGGAGCGAGGCAGATGCTGGCAAATATGGATTGCATGGCCTGCACTGTGGAAAATCTGGCGGTTGGCACTCTAGGCACGACGAAATCAATAACATCATTAAAAGAAGTTTTGCCTCTGCCCAGTTTCCAGCAGAGAGAAAGCCCCACAATCTATTGAACCGTGACTCTGTTAGCTTTGCTGGCCGACCAGACGGAATCACACTGCGCCCTTGGAAGGGTGGCAGACAGTTGGCATGGGACTATACTTGCATATCCACCCCTGGCAACCACATACATCAACCTCTCTGCCAGCCAAACAGGAGCTGCGGCAACACACAGAACAACAAACGCACATTATTTATACTCGTGTTACTTTGATGCAATGTTGTGGCTACGTTGTGTGTGATGAACAGTTGAATATCTGTCAAAAACGCTATGGAAAACCAAATCCGCATTTCAGACTTAATAGGCCTCCTTGGCTTTCAAAGTATAAGCCACTCCTCCTTAATGAAGGGCATATGATCGACCCTTTACCACTCCTTCCCTATGGCACACATACAGTCACAAATCACAATGGAAGGTTTCATTGTGCTAACTGCAAACGTCTCACCTCCACCCTTGGGCTGACAGGCAAGCAGGTATTTTTTTTTTGTTAGATTTAGATTTTTTTTTGTAGATTTAGATGTCCCCACTCCATATAGTGTGGAGACAGAGAAAAGTTAAACAAATTGGAAACATTACATAGTATTTTGGAACAGAAATTGAGCCTTTGGGGGGTGTTTACAGACTTTTCTGAATCTTGCAATGAAAACCTGTATGACACGCTACTCAGTAAATCAGAAAAAAGCTTTGCTGGACATTTCTTGAGAAGAAACGTGCTGTGGGTTCATTAACTATCTTCGTCAATTTGCCAGCTTCCCAGCAAATTTGCAGACGATTTGCCACCCACCTGCACTAATTTCGTAAAAAGACCTCGATGTTCATAATCAGGATGGATGCAGCCTCGAGTAGAAAGCAGGATATTGGTCACCCCATGATGTTTTGTTAGATCCGCTACTTGGCCTAGTAGCCTAAGAAAATGAGTATGCATCATCTGAAAATTAATTACAGAAAAAATTATGAATATAGATCATAATCCTAATATTAAACATAAAAATTAGAAATGAGAACACTAACCCTTCCATTGCAGCACATCTATAGTGAACTCATACTTTAGTTTGCTTTGCATAGAGCGCAGATAATTTTTTATTAATGACCAAACCACACAGCCGAAGATGTAGAGTCGACGACGTTTTGGTCTGCCCTGGTTGATTGTAACAATCGGCTTGATAATGGCCAGCAGGGAAATTTACGAATACGACCGTGCGCGGTCACCTGTGCACCTGGTGCAACAGGGGTCTCATATTCGTAGTCACAACGCCCCGGTCTTCGTCGCAGTGTTTTCTATGTCGTAAGCATTTGTAATGAATACTTAGAGGTGCATAGGCCTGATAGCTGAGTGGACAGCGCTCTGGACTCGTAATCCTAGGGTCTGGGTTTGATCCCGATGATAGCGTAAACAAATTGGACAGTTTCTTTCACCCTGATGTACCTGTTACCTAGCAGTAAACAGGCAACACCCTGGTGCTATCAAATTCTTGTCACAGGTAAGGCATGTATATAGTAGGTATATAAAAACATGCACCTATTCGAATGCAATGTTGTGTCAAAATTTCAAAGCAATCGGTAAAGAAGTTTCGAAGATTTCCCTCACAAGAAAAACACATGAAAAAAAACAGTTTTTCAAAACAAGCATGTTTTTTTTCTCGTTACAGACGTGACATCTATATAGTATGTATATAAAAACCCACTCGGATGCAAATGGAACGTTTTGTGAAAATTTCAAAGCAATCGGTGAAGAACTTTCGGAGATTAGCGATTTTGAACAAACGAACATTTACATTTTTATTTATATAGATATATATTTATCGACAAATCGTTTAACAACCAGGTACCCATTTTACTGTTGGGTAAACAAAGGCTACAGTTTAGGATTGACACCCCGTAAATCTTTCCTGACCAGGATACGAACTCAGGACAATGCATTCGCGAAATGCCTGGTCAGTGTCTTAACCACTACACCATGGGGGATTATTAGGAAAAATCCCTTCTTTGCCCCTATTGGACAATGTTATTTGTTATTGTTTTTACAACGTATGTGTTACGGACCCGAGCCCAGCGTCCGAGCACGGAGCAGTGACGACCGCGCCATCTGTGGGTCAGCTCCCGAAACCCCCTCCAAATGGACGGTGCCACCTAGTGAGGACAGGAAATACCAGCCACGAGGGCTGGTTTGCCGTCCTGATCAGCTCATAACACAGCCGCTGCTGACCTCTGGTGAGGTGACGCTTAGACAGCAATGCCATCTATGGAGTGGATAGGTGGGGCTTTGTGTCTAAGCCTGTAAGTGAGGTGCCCTAGAGTGTAACTAGTACTGATGACGTGTCTGATTACAGAGTCGACCTGGGACTGCTGTAATGAACGTTGGATCAGTCTACCCAAGGCAGCCGTAGAGTCTCCAAGTATTAGCTGCAGAAGTTGAGTCACCACCCCGGATGAACACTGTTGTGTTAGCCTGCCTGTGACGTGGCAGTTGAGGAATTGTCGTACCCGGGGCTGACTCGTGGAGAAGAATAGCCACTGGGGTGTTATGGTGAGGAGAGTGATCTGTGGAATCACACGAGGCTCCTGCCTAGGGCTCGCAACCCTAGTATCAGTCGTGGAGTGGCCTACGCAGCGTTGCTGATTGGAACCTGCCAGCTACAGGCTGGATTTGTGGTTGACGGCCTCCACGACGGTGCACCCAGTGGGATTGTATTTTTGGCTGGCCTGTGGCCGGGGTAGACTCGCTAAGAGAATCTAAGGATTTATCGAGAGGCCACAAGAAGAGAACCAGGGCTACTCGTCTTGAGCACCGTTAAGCAGAGCATCCTGTGTCTTCAGAAGAAGACAAGACGTGTACATAAGTGTAGTGATAGCCCCAGCGAGTGACTGTTTATATATTTATTTATTGGTGGTGGTGAATATATATTTATTTCTGAGCAGTTTTATCCCTTCCCCTTTAATTTACTTGCGTTACGGAGCACACCCCTTGAAAGCCACTACTAGCTTGGGGCCGGATACCCAAGCTCTACTAACATCAGAGAAAGAACCCAGTTGCGACCCAAGAGGGCCGTAACAGTATGTTATTTTCTTTAAGAGTTATTCATCTTCTGCCATTGTCTGCGCCTACACTACTATCCCCTAGCTGCTTGAAGTCTTCTCCCATTGTCTATGCCCGTGTTACAATCCACTAGCCGCTTAAAGTCTTTTCCCATTGTCTACACCCGTGTTACAATCCACTAGCCGCTTAAAGTCTTTTCCCATTGCCTACACCCGGGTTACTATCTACTTAAAGTTTTCTCCCATTGTTTAAGCTCGTGCTACTATCCACTAGCCACTTAAAGTCTTCTCCCATTGTCTACGCCTGCTCTACTATCCACTAGTCGCCTTAAATCTTCTCCCATTGTCTACGCCCACACTACTATCCACTAGCTGCTTAAAGTTTTGCTCACTATGTCCTTCAGCAGATCCACAAAAAGCTGCCATTGTCTCAGACGCACGATGTTCCTGCCAATGCAAGATTCCCAGTTATATATCAATGTTATTTCATTATTCATGCAATACTGTCAGAGATTATGGTTTGTACCAATCGCTCGTGACATCCAGTCACTAGCAACTCTCAACCCTGGCAGACACCACACATGACCCGGACATTTGTCTTGGCCTTTATCATATCTAGTGTTACTTTATGGTTGTTTATCTCGGTAAATATTGTTTCCATTTACTGAACTGCATACAATAGACTTTATCTTGCTGAAGGTCTTTGCAATAAATACGTAAACCAACAGTAAATGCCATTACATGGTCATCCCGAAACACTTGTACTTTGTGACACCCTAAGATGTTTAAACTTCATCTTGTCGCGACACACTTTCTCAGTTGTCTCACTTCTTCCTGCAATCGCTCCAAATATTTCTGAAGGATAGCTGTCAGCTCTATCAACTCACCCTCTAGGCTCATCTTCATCCTGATAAGAGTAGAGCCCAAAAACAATCTGTTGCTACAAATAACATACCTCAGTCTCATTGCTCTTGGAAGGAGTGTGAATTACTGTAGCGTCAAATGCGAGGATGGAGTTCAGTAGCACCCCAACCAACTGCTTTGTTGACTTGTCTCTAGCGCCCAGTGACAGCCCAGTTGCTAAACAGGTCCGGATGTGATTGAGGTCTATAGCCAGCTTTGATTCCGGGCTCACACCAAGAACTAAGGTCTGTAATATTCAACTGTGATACAAATAAAGGGAAAAGATTTACTTGGTCACAATTAATTTAGTGAAACCATTAAAATTTATTACCTTTTAATTTGTACATATATTAATCATCTTAGTATTACATAATACAAAAGTTTTTATTCGGCTAAATTTATGAAAATAATAACAGGGAACATAACATGGCCAGCGTATCACATCCAAGACAGACTTACCATAATGTCTCGCAGGTAGAAATGATTGACCAGAAGGTGAGAGATGTCGTCCAGGTCATCTGGAGCCAGGCTCACATACTCCAGCTCAGTGAAACTCATTCTCACTAACCACTTCCCACAGACCTGTGTGAAGATCTTACTCTTCATTCATGTTGAGAAATCTATATACCCTTAAAGGGTATATAGAAAACTTGAATATCTATTTTAATGAAACTTTGTTAGTAATATCATATTTCTCAATATCTATTCCATTAACAAACTTGAGAAAAGTTATGGATAAATTTACATTTGTTGTTATTCCTAAATATATTAGGATTGAGTCAATACGTTCCTGTGTGTAGTATAGGACACAAGTGACAGTTAATGTGAGTAGGGTAAAAGGAGACTACGACAGTACAAATCTGTCCTGGGCATGGCATGCAAATTACGAAGGCTTCATTGTGGTTTGAAAAGTGGTGTGTAAATCCTGTACACTTTAAACAAAATCGAAAAGAGATGAGCAAACCCCATAGAATTTATTGGGAATTGAATTGCAAGGCATGAGGTACCTAGTACTTTGCAATTACTTCATTCACTCTTGTGTTCTTGAAGATAGCCTCATATTGCACCCAAAATTTTGCTTGTGCAGGCTACTGAACATATGGCCTTGTATGACTGACCATCCTGCGAGATGGAGACTTTTAGTATCACTGCTACCTTATTCACTCTTGTGTTGATGATGATATCCTCGTAACGAACCCAGAGTTTGCCAGTGCAGACTACTTATCACATTCCTCTGTATGACTAACCATCCTGTGTGATGGGGATTTTTTAGGACAATGTAGCTAGCTCTTTGACACACTGTACTCCCCTTCATATTGTCTAGGGGAGCTGCACAAATGCAGATGTACCTAATATATTACTAATAAAAAAGGCATAGACTCTATTATACTTAGAGAAGTAATCAAATCCTGTAGATTTTATTGTGAAGAAGTGTGCAAGCCCTGTAGAGTTAAACATGGAAAAGTGGTTTCAAGTGAGTTGAGTTATTCTCTTGTTTTATCTTGAGTAGGCTTTCAACGAATATTGCTATCTACCAGTACTCTGATATCCATCTATCAGTACTCCTTGTTAACCACCACCTTCATCTACCAGTAGTTCTCACTACCTACCCTCTTCCCTCATCTACCAGTACCACAACCACCATCATCACAATCTATGCTACCAGTACCATCCTTATCTTCCACATCCACAATCCCCAACCATCATTCCTCATCTTCCGCCCTGTCATGAATGTATGTATGTGTGACCTGTTAGTGTGATCTCTGTATTATAAAAAGCTATTTTTTCCCTTTTCAGTCAATAGATAATGCTTGTAACAATTGTTATATTTTATTGTTAATATATATATATATATATATATATATATATATATATATATATATATATATATATATATATATACATATATATATATATGGGTTCTCCCCTAGGTATCCTGTTTGCAAACTTCTACATGGGTACCATCGAGCGAAAAGTCTTACTCGACATGAACTTGAAACCGGCCATATACTGCAGGTATGTTGACGACATTTTTACACAGGTACCTGATGTCAGACATCTGCAGGAGCTGAAGGAGGCATTTGAGCAGAATTCTGTGTTGCGTTTCACTTACGAGATGGAGAAGGATGGGAAGCTGCCCTTTCTAGATGTAACAGTCATGGAAAGGAGTGGAGTTTTCTACACTGCAGTCTACACTAATGAAACAAACACAGGAATGTGCCTGAATGCCAACAGTGACTGCCCGGACAGGTACAAGAGGAGTGTTGTTAACGCTTATGTCGACCGTGCTCTCAGCCACAGCTCAGAATGGAAGCAAGTCGACGAAGAACTCTGTAGGGTAAGGCAGGTCCTAGTCAACAACGGCTTCTCCAATGGTTTCGTGGAAGACATCGCAAGAAGAAAAGTGAAACGCCATGCAACCTCTGAAGAGACAACTAACACAACACCTATACCCCCTATTAGACTATTTTACAGGAACTTCTTTTCCACAGCCCATAAAACGGAGGAAAGGGTCCTGAAAGATATTGTCAGTAGAAACGTTATCCCTACAGACAAAAATCAGAAGATACAACTGACAATTTACTATAAAACCAGAAAAACGGCCAGCCTACTCATGAGAAACTCTCCAGACACAAAGCAGAACGCTTTAAAAGAGACCAACGTCGTCTATGCCTTCAAATGCCCTCTTGGGGACTGTAAGCCTGAAAAAACCCAGTATATAGACAAGACAACAACATCTCTTTCCAGGCGTTTAACGATACATAAGCAACAGGGCTCCATTAAGGAACATATAATCTCTTCCCACAAACAAACCATCACCAGAGAAATCCTAGCAAACAACACAGAAATCATCGATAGATACAGCGATAGCAGACGGCTGGACGTCTGCGAGGCACTACACATCAAGAAGTCAACACCAGCAATCAACAGCCAATTAATGCACAACTATATTCTACCCACTTCAAGACTCCGCTCCAATATAGAAGCATCAAGAAATATGGACCAATAGGCTTTCTACAATTACTTCCATTCAATACCCATTGTTTCGTGTTCTGTCTTGTGTTAGAATTTAATACCCATTTAATACCCATTGTTGAAAGTTCGTTTTCACCTCATCCACCTCACCCAAATGTAGATATAAACTCGAAGATGTGCAAAGCTCTATTCAGTTTCAGTTGTGTGTTTGTAAACTAAAGTCTTTGAAAATGTAATAAGTTTTACGAAACGTGCTCAAGTGTCGCGTCAGACTAAAAATAAAAATGAATTTTGGAGAATTGATTTTTGAATTACCACCAACAGTGAAAATAAACGTACGAAAGATCGAGAAAATTCGTGTTAGAATTATTAATCTTACTTTTTCGGTCATATTTAATATATATATATATATATATATATATATATATATATATATATATATATATATATATATATATATATATATATATGTATATATATATATATATATATATATATACAAACTTCATATATAATATATATATATACAAACCTATATATATATATATATATATATATATATATATATATATATATATACAAACTATAATATATATATATAATATATATATATATATATATATATATATATATATATATATATATATATATATATATATATATATATATATATATATATATATATATATACATATTATTAAATATGACCGAATATATATATATATATATATATATATATATATATATATATATATATATATATATATATATATATATATATATATATATATATATATATATATATATATTTTATTAAATATGACCGAAAAAGTAAGATTAATAATTCTAACACGAATTTTCTCTATCTTTCTTACGTTTCTTTTCCCTGTTGATGGTAATTCAAAGATCAATTCTCCAAAATTCATTTTTATTTTTAGTCTGACGCGACACTTGAGCGCGTTTCGTAAAACTTATTACATTTTCAAAGACTTTAGCTTACACATACACAACTGAATAGAACTTACACATCTTCGATTTGCTTATATCTACATTTGAGTGAGGTGGATGGGGTGAGGTGGTATTAATAGGGTATTAAATTCCTAAACACAAGACAGAACACGAAACTATGGGTATTGAATGGAAGTGATTTGTAGAAAGCTTATTGGTCCATATTTCTTGATGCTTCTATATTGGAGCGGAGTCTTGAGGTGGGTAGAATATAGTTGTGCATTAATTGGCTGTTGATTGCTGGTGTTGACTTCTTGATGCGTAGAGCCTCGCAGACGTCAAGCCGCCTGCTATCGCTGTATCTATCGATGATTTCTGTGTTGTTTACTAGGATTTCTCTGGCGATGGTTTGGTTGTGGGAAGAGATTATATGTTCCTTAATGGAGCCCTGTTGCTTATGCATCGTTAAACGCCTAGAAAGAGATGTTGTTGTCTTGCCTATATACTGTTTTTTTTTGGAGCTTACAGTCCCCAAGAGGGCATTTGAAGGCATAGACGACGTTGGTCTCTTTTAAAGCGTTCTGCTTTGTGTCTGGAGAGTTTCTCATGAGTAGGCTGGCCGTTTTTCTGGTTTTATAGTAAATCGTCAGTTGTATCCTCTGTTTTTTGTCTGTAGGGATAACGTTTCTATTAACAATATCTTTCAGGACCCTTTCCTCCATTTCATGAGCTGTGGAAAAGAAGTTCCTGTAAAATAGTCTTATAGGGGGTATAGGTGTTGTGTTAGTTGTCTCTTCAGAGGTTGCATGGCGTTTCATTTTCCTTCTTATGATGTCTTCGACGAAACCATTGGAGAAGCCGTTGTTGACTAGGACCTGCCTTACCCTACAGAGTTCTTCGTCGACTTGCTTCCATTCTGAGCTGTGGCTGAGAGCACGGTCGACATAAGCGTTAACAACACTCCTCTTGTACCTGTCTGAGCAGTCGCTGTTGGCACTTAGGCACATTCCTATGTTCGTTTCCTTAGTGTAGACTGCAGTGTGGAAACCTCCACTCTTTTCCATGACTGTTACATCTAGAAAGGGCAGCTTCCCATCCTTTTCCATCTCGTAAGTGAAACGCAGCACGGAACTCTGCTCAAATGCCTCCTTCAGCTCCTGCAGATGTCTGACATCAGGTACCTGTGTAAAAATGTCGTCAACATACCTGCAGTACATGGCCGGTTTCAAGTTCATTTCGACTAAGACTTTTTGCTCGATGGTACCCATGTAGAAGTTTGCAAACAGGACACCTAGGGGAGAACCCATGGCGACCCCATCTACTTACTTATACATGTGCCCATCCGGGCTCATGAAGGGTGCCTCTTTAGTACAAGCTTGGAGTAGTTTCCTTAGAATATTTTCTGGTATGTCAAGAGGAGTGCAGGCCGGATCACGATACACTCTGTCGGCTATCATCCCGATTGTCTCGTCCACAGGTACGTTGGTAAACAGTGACGTCTGCGAGGCTCTACACATCAAGAAGTCAACACCAGCAATCAACAGCCAATTAATGCTCAACTATATTCTACCCACCTCAAGACTCCGCTCCAATATAGAAGCATCAAGAAATATGGACCAATAGGCTTTCTACAAATCACTTCCATTCAATACCCATTGTTTCGTGTTCTGTCTTGTGTTTAGGAATTTAATACCCTATTAATACCACCTCACCCCATCCACCTCACTCAAATGTAGATATAAACAAATCGAAGATGTGTAAGTTCTATTCAGTTGTGTATGTGTAAGCTAAAGTCTTTGAAAATGTAATAAGTTTTACGAAACGCGCTCAAGTGTCGCGTCAGACTAGAAATAAAAATGAATTTTGGAGAATTGATTTTTGAATTACCACCAACAGTGAAAAGAAACGTACGAAAGATCGAGAAAATTCGTGTTAGAATTATTAATCTTACTTTTTCGGTCATATTTAATAATATATGTCTACAGGAAAGACTGCTACCAAAATATACTAATATATATATATATATATATATATATATATATATATATATATATATATATATATATATATATATATATATATATATATATATATATATATATATATATATATATATATATATATATATATATATATATATGTCGTACTTAGTAGCCAGAACTCACTTCTCAGCCTACTATGCAAGGCCCGATTTGCCTAATAAGCCAAGTTTTCATGAATTAATGTTTTTTCGTCTACCTAACCTACCTAACCTAACCTAACCTAGCTTTTTTTGGCTACCTAACCTAACCTTACCTATATATATAGGTTAGGTTAGGTTAGGTAGGGTTGGTTTGGTTCGGTCATATATCTACGTTAATTTTAACTCCAATAAAAAAAAATTGACCTCATACATAGTGAAAAGGGTAGCTTTATCATTTCATAAGAAAAAAATTATAGTAAATATATTAATTCAGGAAAACTTGGCTTATTAGGCAAATCGGGCCTTGCATAGTAGGCTGAGAAGTGAGTTCTGGCTACTAGGTACGACATATATATATATATATATATATATATATATATATATATATATATATATGTCGTACCTAGTAGCCAGAACTCACTTCTCAGCCTACTATTCAAGGCCCGATTTGCCTAATAAGCCAAGTTTTCCTGAATTAATATATTTACTATAATTTTTTTCTTATGAAATGATAAAGCAACCCTTTTCTCTATGTATGAGGTCAATTTTTTTTATTGGAGTTAAAATTAACGTAGATATATGACCGAACCTAACCAACCCTACCTAACCTAACCTAACCTATATTTATAGGTAAGGTTAGGTTAGGTAGCCAAAAAAAGCTAGGTTAGGTTAGGTTAGGTAGGTTAGGTAGAAGAAAAAACATTAATTCATGAAAACTTGGCTTATTAGGCAAATCGGGCCTTGAATAGTAGGCTGAGAAGTGCGTTCTGGCTATTAGGTACGACATATATATATATATATATATATATATATATATATATATATATATATATATATATATATATATATATATATATATGTCGTACCTAGTAGCCAGAACGCACTTCTCAGCCTACTATGCAAGGCCCGATTTGCCTAATAAGCCAAGTTTTCCTGAATTAATATATTTTCTCCAATTTTTTTCTTATGAAATGATAAAGCTACCCATTTCATTATTTATGAGGTCAATTTTTTTTATTGAAGTTGAAATTAACGTCGATATATGACCGAACCTAACCAACCCTACCTAACCTATCTTTATAGGTTAGGTTAGGTTAGGTAGCCGAAAACGTTAGGTTAGGTTAGGTTAGGTAGGTTAGGTAATCGAAAAACAATTCATTCATGAAAACTTGGCTTATTTGGCAAATCGGGCCTTACATAGTAGGCTGAGAAGTGCGTTCTGACTACTAGGTACGACATATATGTATATATATATATATATATATATATATATATATATATATATATATATATATATATATATATATATATATATATGTCGTACCTAGTAGCCAGAACGCACTTCTCAGCCTACTATTCAAGGCCCGATTTGCCTAATAAGCCAAGTTTTCCTTAATTAATATATTTTCTCTATTTTTTTTCTTATGAAATGATAAAGCTACCCATTTCATTATGTATGAGGTCAATTTTTTTTATTGGAGTTAAAATTAACGTAGATATATGACCGAACCTAACCAACCCTACCTAACCTAACCTAACCTATCTTTATAGGTTAGGTTAGGTTAGGTGGCCGAAAAAGTTAGGTTAGGTTAGGTTAGGTAGGTTAGGTAGTCGAAAAACAATTAATTCATGAAAACTTGGCTTATTAGGCAAATCGGGCCTTGAATAGTAGGCAGAGAAGTGCGTTCTGGCTACTAGGTACGACATATATATATATATATATATATATATATATATATATATATATATATGTCTTACCTAGTAGCCAGAACGCACTTCTCGGCCTACTATGCAAGGCCCGATTTGCCTAATAAGCCAAGTTTTCCTGAATCAATATATTTTCTCTAATTTTTTTATTATGAAATGATAAAGCTACCCATTTCGTTATGTATGAGGTGATTTTTTTTTTTATTGGAGTTAAAAATTAACGTAGATATATGACCGAACCTAACCAACCCTACCTAACCTAACCTAACCTATCTTTATAGGTTAGGTTAGGTTAGGTAGCCGAAAAAGTTAGGTTAGGTTAGGTTAGGTAGTCAAAAAACAATTAATTCATGAAAACTTGGCTTATTAGGCAAATCGGGCCTTGCATAGTAGGCTGAGAATTGCGTTCTGGCTACTAAGTACGACATATATATATATATATATATATATATATATATATATATATATATATATATATATATATATATATATATATATATATATATATATATATATATATTATTAAATATGACCGAAAAAGTAAGAATAATAATTCTAACACGAATTTTCTCAGTCTTTCGTACATTACGCTTCACTGTTGGAGGTAAATCAAAAATCAATTCTCCAAAATTCATTTTTATTTCTAGTCTGACGCGACACGGGCACGTTTCGTAAAACTTATTACATTTTCAAAGACTTTAGTTCACAAATACACAACTGAATATATTCAGTTGTGTATTTGTATAATCGGAGATACGTAAGTTCTATAGAACTTACGTATCTCCGATTTTATATCTGCATTTGAGTGAGGTGGAAGGGGTGATGTGGCATTAACACAAGACAGAACAAGATGTGGCATTAATAGGGTATTAATTTCATCAACACAAGACAGAACAAGAGTAATAATAGGGTATTAATTTCATCAACACAAGACAGAACACAAAACAATGGATATTGAATAGAAGTGTTTGTAGAAAGCCTATTGGTCCATATTTCTTGATGCTTCTATATTGGAGCGGAGTCTTGAGGTGGGTAGAATATAGTTGTGCAATAATTGGCTGTTGATTGCTGGTGTTGACTTCTTGATGTGTAGTGCCTCGCAAACGTCAAGCCGCCTGCTATCGCTGTATCTATCGATGATTTCTGTGTTGTTTACTAGGATTTCTAGTAAACCTAGTAAACCTAGAAATCCTAGTAAACAACACAGAAATCATCGATAGATACAGCGATAGCAGGCGGCTTGACGTTTGCGAGGCACTACACATCAAGAAGTCAACACCAGCAATCAACAGCCAATTATTGCATTACTGCAATAATTGGCTGTTGATCGATTAATCGTAGTCGATTAATCAATAATCGACTACTGAGAATATTTTCATTGGGAGGTTGCTAAGGAATTTCCAAGGTCAAATGTTATTCATGAACAGGACTCTATACTGTTATCAGTATAGTTTCTGTGCTATCAACAGGTCTCCACCCTAAACTCATCACCCGCACCGTCCCCGCTCTTATCTGCGTCCTCTCTACTCTTCCAATTCAATTTCCCCGCGCTCATTATCTGCCTTAAGCACACCACTCTCTCTCACCCCCTTCCCCCTCTCACCCCTTTTCATAGGATAACACCTTTTTTCCTCCTGATTATCGGCTATTAATAGTGCTCTCGTAGAACAAAATATTCAAGTTACTTATTCGTTTGCTAAGACACTCACATTTTTTTTGCAGATATATTCCTGCGCGGGCCCTAAGCCTCTGGCTGGCCCACTAAGTGTTGCTTGTTTCTGTTTTACTTGGGCGGAGTCTGAGTATTTATGACTCGTATGGTCGCTTCAGTAAGATTTTGCCCTATGTATTTAACAATTTCTTCTGCCCTGTTGAATCTAAGTTGAAATCTTAATGGGTTTGTAACTGTGCACTGTGTTAGATAATGTTCCAGTGGTCTGTTGGGCATTTTTCCACAGTGCTGACATTTCCTCTCATCTTCCGGAACCTGTAAGCCTATTTCCCATGCACATGGGTATCCAAGCCTGATGCGATGTAAGTGTACTTCTGTTGTTCTACTGCTCCCTTTCATCAACATAAGTGGTTCGTAGTTAGCTGAATTATTGTACCAACCCAACTGCTGTGTAGTGGTCACTGTACATCTTTTGCATTGCTCTGTTTCTAATTACTTTCTTAATCTGTGATATGTAAATGTCTACATTTCTTCTCTTAGTTGCAAGTTTTGCAGCTTCGTCTGCAATGTCATTTCCTATTATTCCCACATGACTTGGCACCCAGTTGATAAGTACCCGTCGGCCATGAAGTGAAAAGTGATATCCTAGTGATAAACTAGGATATACTTGTGTTCATTTATTACCTATGTTTTATGTAACTAATATTAGATGAATAAATGTGATAATAATAGTAATACAATAAAAAAGATATTAATATCTAATGCATATGACTTATTGTATGAAAATTAAGTACAGAGGGAAAGAGAGATAATTATTTTGTTGGTGAGAGCTGGGAAGTACGGTAATGATATGATCTGTTTTGGTCAGAAAATGATGGTCTGACACTAGCCACACCTGAGGGCATATTTACACAGGTGTCTTAAAAAAGAGGTCATGACCCATCTTTACCTAAAAGAATTTCGCGAGCGAGTGTGATGTCGTTCGGTGATGGGCGAGTACAAAAATGGTGAGATAGGGCCACCTGACATCTGGAAAGAGAATGTACTTTGATAAGGAAAATATGTTGATAAAGGAAACGGATGAGAGCTAATCTGTTGTTTGAAATAACTATATTTGGCGAACATTGAACTAGCGCGACGGCCGAGAGTTGTCCTGTTGTTCTGAAAATAACTATTTGGTGAATATTGCAGTAAAGCAGAGAAACTTAAACTGAATTTTTATTTTTTTACTGCGTCTGAAATGTAAAACGGTAACAGATGTGAAAACATTAACATTTTTGCGAACAAAGCTGTGAAGGGTGGGGTGAGGGGGGGATGGGGGTGAGAGGGGGAAGGGGGTGGTGTGCTTAAGGCTGATAAAGAGCGCAGGGGAAGAGTAGAGAGGGCGAAGATAATAATGGATGATATGAGATTAGGCTGGAGACTTGTTGATAGTATTTATTTATTTATTTATATTCAAGAAGGTACATTGGGTTTATGGGAGTACATAGCACTGATGTTTCACAGTCTTGCAAAGCCAATAACACGCATAGCGTTTCGAGCAGGTCCTTAATCTAACAAGTAATATAAATTAGTAATTTGTAGCAAAATTTGAAGAATATTAACAGGTAAATTTTAAGATAATTTGAATAAAATTAATAGGTACATTGTAGCAAAATTTGAGGATTATTAATAGGTACATTGTAGCAAAATGTGCCGTCAATACAACAACCATGATATAAGTTGATAGCAGCGATTACGATACACAAAGAAATTACAATAGCATGAAATATCAAATTTACAAATCTTTACAAATTTACAAAGGGCTTTGATGAGGATTCGAACCTATGTGCTGGATGTTCCCAGACGCGCCTTAAACAACTTTATCACGATATGGTCAAAAGAATTGCAACCCTGGAGTGCTACTGCCCTCACGAAGATCCCGAGGCTTCTACTGAAGCCTAAAGTGGCCTCTACTCGGGTTCCTCGTGAGGGCAGCAGCTCTCCAGTTTGCAATTCTTTTGACCATGTCGTGGTACAGTTGACTAAGTCATGTCTAGGAACACTCAACGCATAGGTTCAAACCCTCATCAAGGCCCTTGTGGCTTTGTTCAGTGATTACAATGGTGAAGATGCATGGCTTAGACATATATATATATATATATATATATATATATATATATATATATATATATATATATATATATATATATATATATGCGAACAAGCCTGAATGGTCCCCAGGACAATATGCAACTGAAAACTCACACCCCAGAAGTGACTCGAACCCATACTCCCAGGAGCCACGCAACTGGTATGTACAAGACGCCTTAATCCACTTGACCATCACGACCGGACTAATGAGGTGATAGCCGAGGCTATTTGAACCGGCACTCGGATAGTAATCTTGGGCATAGCATTTTACCAAATCACCTCATTCTTTGGGGCACACGTGAGGAACACAAATGCGAACAAGCCTGAATGGTCACCAGGACAATATGCAACTGAAAACTCACACCCCAGAAGTGACTCGAACCCATACTCCCAGGAGCCACGCAACTGGTATGTAGAAGACACCTTAATCCACTTGACCATCACGACCGGACTAATGAGGTGATAGCCGAGGCTATTTGAACCACCCCACCGCCGGCACTCGGATAGTAATCTTGGGCATAGCATTTTACCAAATCACCTAATTCTTTGGGGCACACGTGAGGAACACAAATGCGAACAAGCCTGAATGGTCCCCAGGACAATATGCAACTGAAAACTCACACCCCAGAAGTGACTCGAACCCATACTCCCAGGAGCCACGCAACTGGTATGTACAAGACGCCTTAATCCACTTGACCATCACGACCGGACTAATGAGGTGATAGCCGAGGCTATTTGAACCACCCCACCGCCGGCACTCGGATAGTAATCTTGGGCATAGCATTTTACCAAATCACCTCATTCTTAGGGGCACACGTGAGGAACACAAATGCGAACAAGCCTGAATGGTCCCCAGGACAATATGCAACTGAAAACTCATAGCACTGGTAAAATGCTATGCCCAAGATTACTATCCAAGTGCCGGCGGTGGGGTGGTTCAAATAGCCTCGGCTATCACCTCATTAGTCCGGTCGTGATGGTCAAGTGGATTAAGGCGTCTTGTACATACCAGTTGCGTGGCTCCTGGGAGTATGGGTTCGAGTCACTTCTGGGGTGTGAGTTTTCAGTTACATATTGTCCTGGGGACCATTCAGGCTTGTTCGCATTTGTGTTCCTCACGTGTGCCCTAAAGAATGAGGTGATTTGGTAAAATGCTATGCCCAAGATTACTATCCGAGTGCCGGCGGTGGGGTGGTTCAAATAGCCTCGGCTATCACCTCATTAGTCCGGTCGTGATGGTCAAGTGGATTAAGGCGTCTTGTACATACCAGTTGCGTGGCTCCTGGGAGTATGGGTTCGAGTCACTTCTGGGGTGTGAGTTTTCAGTTATATATATATATATATATATATATATATATATATATATATATATATATATATATATATATATTAGTATATTTTGGTAGCAGTCTTTCCTGTAGACATATATTATTAAATATGACCGAAAAAGTAAGATTAATAATTCTAACACGAATTTTCTCAATCTTTCGTACATTACGCTTCACTGTTGGAGGTAAATCAAAAATCACTTCTCTAAAATTCATTTTTATTTCTAGTCTGACGCGACACGGGCGCGTTTCGTAAAACTTATTACATTTTCAAAGACTTCACAAATACACAACTGATTAGAACGTATCTCTGATTTTATATCTACATTTGAGTGAGGTGGGAAGGGTGATGTGGCATTAACACAAGACAGAACAGGAGGGGATATTAATAGGGTATTAAAAGTATCAACACAAGACAGAACAGAAACAATGGGTATTGAATAGAAGTGTTTGTAGAAAGCCTATTGGTCCATATTTCTTGATGCTTCTATATTGGAGCGGAGTCTTGAGGTGGGTAGAATATAGTTGTGCAATAATTGGCTGTTGATTGCTGGTGTTGACTTCTTGATGTGTAGTGCCTCGCAAACGTCAAGCCGCCTGCTATCGCTGTATCTATCGATGATTTCTGTGTTGTTTACTAGGATTTCTCTGGCGATGGTTTGGTTATGGGAAGAGATTATATGTTCCTTAATGGAGCCCTGTTGCTTATGCATCGTTAAACGCCTAGAAAGAGATGTTGTTGTCTTGCCTATATACTGGGTTTTTTGGAGCTTACAGTCCCCAAGTGGGCATTTGAAGGCATAGACGACATTAGTCTCTTTTAAAGCGTTCTGTTTTGTGTCTGGAGAGTTTCTCATGAGTAGGCTGGCCGTTTTTCTGGTTTTATAGTAAATCGTCAGTTGTATCCTCTGATTTTTGTCTGTAGGGATAACGTTTCTATTAACAATATCTTTCAGGACCCTTTCCTCCGTTTTATGAGCTGTGGAAAAGAAGTTCCTGTAAAATAGTCTAATAGGGGGTATAGGTGTTGCGTTAGTTGTCTCTTCAGAGGTTGCATGGCTTTTCACTTTCCTTCTTATGATGTCTTCGATGAAACCATTGGAGAAGCCGTTATTGACTAGGACCTGCCTTACCCTACAGAGTTCTTCGTCGACTTGCTTCCATTCTGAGCTGTGGCTGAGAGCACGGTCGACGTATGCGTTAACAACACTCCTCTTGTACCTGTCAGGGCAGTCGCTGTTGGCATTTAGGCACATTCCTATGTTTGTTTCCTTAGTGTAGACTGCAGTGTGGAAACCTCCGCCCTTTTCCATGACTGTTACATCTAGAAAAGGCAGCTTCCCATCCTTTTCCGTCTCGTAAGTGAAACGCAGCACGGAACTCTGCTCAAATGCCTCCTTCAGCTTCTGCAGATGTCTGACATCAGGTACCTGTGTAAAAATGTCGTCAACATACCTGCATTATATGGCCGGTTTCAAGTTCATGTCGACTAAGACTTTTTGCTCGATGGTACCCATGTAGAAGTTTGCAAACAGGACACCTATATATATATATATATACATATATATATATATATATATATATATATATATATATATATATATATATATATATATATATATATATATATATATATATATATATATATATTGGTGGAGTGGGTAGCATAAGTTACAATGCGAGTTTGAAGCACTAGGTTGGAAACTATGAGGATGAAATTATGTACTTTTTAGTTTTACTTTTGAGTAATGCATAGGTTGGACAGCTTTTTAATTCAATAGGGAGTGAGTTCCATAGACAAGGTCCTTTATTTGCATATAATGTTTGCACAGATTTAGTTTGACTCTGGAGATATCAAAGATATATTTATTTCTTGTGTGGGGATTATAGGTTCTATTACATCTGTCCAGGAAGGGTTTCAGATCAGGATTTGCACTTAGGAGCAAGGTTTTGTAAATGTAAGTGGCACAAGAGAATGTGTGGAGCGAGTTTATATTTAGCATGTTTAGGGATTTAAAGAGAGGCTGTGTGTTGTCTGAAAACAGAGTTTGTAATTTATATTTTATTTTATTTATTTATATATATACAAGAAGGTACATTGGGTTTATTTGGGTACAGAGAATTGAAGTATTACATTCTTGTAAGGCCACTAGCACGCATAGCGTTTCGGGCAGATCCTTAATCTAACATATAATTTTAATTAAGAAGGTAATGTCTAGCAAAATTAAAAATGTTTACAAGTACATTGTAAGAAAGTATAAAATACATTGTAAGAAAGTATAAAAATACATTGTAAGAAAGTATAAAAATACATTGTAAGCAAATATAGAAAATACATTGTATAAGAAATTTGACAAGAGAAAAAAAAGTAAGCACATTAAAGTAAATTTATAGGTTGTCCACAGGTACATTTTAGCATAATTTGAGGATTATTGCAAAATATAATGTAGCAAACTATGTGTATAACATGATATAAGATAACATCAATGATTACAATAGTAAAGTTATATGGCATAGGTACATATTTTGGGGAATTGGTTAACACTATATACAGTGCGAGTTTCAAGC